AAAAATAAATGCGCCATAAAAATTTACAAAATATGCTAAATTAAAGATTTTTTTCGGGATAAAATAATAAAGTTCAATATTTATGTATTATAGTATTTTATGATTTAAATATATATATATACATAAATAATACAATATATAAATATTTATAACCATTAGTAAAATACTGTAAAATTTATCTAAATGGCTTTCTTTGTTACATTTTTTATCTTAAATATATATAAAAAGTCTTCATTTTTATCATAAACTAGTGTCAGTTTTATTTTTTCTAAGTATAATATAACAATTTAAAAAGTAATGTAAGGTTATATATATACTACACATGTAGAATAAAAACAGTTTTATTATTTACAAGATTTAGCTAGGTAATACATAGACGTTTCAAAATAAGAAAACAAAATATTTTTCCTTTATAGTACTTACATCATTCAGGTGTTCAGTTATTAAACCATATCACTAAGAACATTTTATAAAACTACTTTTATTTAAAAATTAAAATATCATTATTATCTTAATAAATCGCACAAATGTATAAACATTTAGTTGAATGTTTAAATTACTTATTTATGTTTTTTTTTTTTTTTTTTTTTTAATTAATGCAGTTTTGTGTAAATATAAAATTTTAAGTATTTATAACTCAAAAAGTTAACAATCCAACGTCATATATTGATAAATATTTGTATAAATAATAATATATTAAGACATCTTTTAGATTTTAGGGCATTAAGATAATATGTGCTTAATCAATTATCAGAGATAATGAATCAATACAAATTAAAAAACCATAGTGTTATTTCAACATTAGATTCTAACTTTTGTTTTAACATTTATTAGAAATTTATAATTTATGATATGTGTTTACCATACGCATAATATATAATAATCGTAGCTATTTATTTATTACCTACATGAAAGAATAGATTTAAGAGATTACCTATCAATAATACTTTTGACGTAATTTATTATATATATTTGTTTAATTAATTTTTAAGTTAATAAATGACTACTTCAATTTATTTTAAACCTTCTCGGGGGATTTCCACGGATATTTCCGGAGTCAAGAGCAAGAACAATATTATTCAGTGGTTAAAAGTAGTTTTCAAGATTGGAGCAGATTTTCAAGAGTTTGTTTGTAGATGGCGTTATTCTTGAGAATGACTTGAGATTAAAAAAAAATGGCATATTTTTAATCATAATAATATAATATTTACAGGAAAGTTTATATTTCATTAGTATTCGATTTATTTGAAGAACTCTAAAATTAGATGTCTCAGGAAATTATTGGCTTTAAAAGAGTTTTATTTAGTGAAAGTTTATTTCTAGGCTAAAAGTATTGTCTTAATTAAGAGCGATGAGATTTACATTTGAACTTTAACAGTAGGTAGCTTTTTCTTTTTTACCAAGTCCCACTAATGTTAGATGATTTTAGTAATTCAGTTTTTTAATTGATTTATAAAATATAATTACTAGTATACAATGTTATAAAGTTGAAATTATAGCAATGTGAGTTTGCAAACAAAAAATTGGAAAGTTACATTATTTCACCTAATAGTTGAATTATGTCATTGCGCTACTTTTAGTGCATTTCGAACTATCGAAAAGTAGTAAATGACATCAAGTTTATTGCTTTCGATATAAAATAAGATACTTGATGTATTTTAAACAACACTTTCAAAATTTTTTTTAAAACATTTTGTAGTAAATGATAAAAAATAAAAACTTTCAATGGTATGTTTAACGAGAGCCAAACATGTTATTTACTGTAAATATAATATGTTAAGTTTTTATATATATATGTATATATTTATGTATATATATATACATATATCACTTTGAATTTTTTTTTAAATAATGAGCTTTACAAAAAAAAAATTTGATTTATAAAACAGTTAACAGCTTGCTAAAACAACATTTTACCTGAAATTTCAAAGTTTTTAAAGTAAGTTTATAAGTTATAGCAATAATTTTTGTTTAATACAATGAAATATTGTTTTTCATTTAAATTTTATTTAATATACAAGACGATTCATATTAAATGTATTATTTATTTGTTTATACATAAATAATATTTATTTATACAAAGTTTTTAAAAATAATCTAAAAAAGAATTATTACGATATTGTTTTTGTTAAATCTAAATTTGCTTTCAATATTAAAACGTTGAGTATTTGATTTCAACAATTAAAAAAATGTTAATGTTTTCTTTTATGACTACAATAATTTTAACTTATGGATATTTCACAATTATCTCATTATGTTTTGTAATTATTCTATGAAAACGTCATTATAATAGTATGTTAAACATTAAGTAATATTATGCTCAAAGACTACTTTTTACTGTTGAAATCCATTTATAATTTATTAAAATACAACACACATATTATACAAAATAAAATACTTGAATCCTTACAATTTTCATGATAAACATTTATTTACTAATTTATTAACATTGATTTATTTTACCTTATTTATTAAATTATAACGTAATTTTTCATAACCATAGTGTTTTTTATTTTTTTTATTTACAATTATTATTAAATATTGCTATTTTTTCTATTGTAGTCTTAACCATTTTTAGTATAGTCATATGAGAAATCTTTTTTATATTACTTATTGTTATCGTTTATAATTATTACATGGTAGTTGAAAAATAATTATTTCTTTTATGAATTTACACTGTAATGCTACTTCCTCGTATATGGTTTACGATAATAAAAGTTTAGCTGTATTCTTAAGTATCCAATTTGTCATAAATCTCTTTTTTGAGGGATTTTATATTATAGTTTCACTTTTTTGAAATGTGACTATGTTTAACGACTGAGATATACAGAAAATAGATAAATCCATTTATATCTTCTGAACATGATAGGTATATTCCACAGAAATTATTATACTATTTCTTAAATTGTTTGTCAGTATTACGAAAAAGCTATTCCAGAGTCTGATTAATGAATCTTTGAAAACACTGCAGTAGGTATCATGTGTGTCACTTAAGGATCAGTTTCTAAAGACTTGAACACTTTTCACATACAATCTACTGGAATTGCACTTATGAGATTAAAAGATAGAAACCATACAAATTATACACAAAATTGACTAATTAAAATTTGCATACTCGTGCATGGTAAACTTAAGATGCTATAATAACATTTAACTTATAATGATATTAAGTGTATTAAACAAATAATTTATTTTTTTATAATTTTTATTACTTATAAAATATAGCATATAATATAACTTCAGGTAATATTCCTCGAAAATAATTAATAAAAAAATGTATATTTTTTTATGTTATTTTACATTCAGGTGTGCAACAAATACAATTATAAAAATAATACTATATTAACTCAGTTCAAAAATGTAAATCTACTTTTATTAATAAGTATGTGGATTATATAAAGAGTAACTTAATTTTTTACAATTTTCTAAATTTAAATAAATAAATTTATTGAATTATTATCATCACGTTCATCGCATAGTGTATATATATATATATATATATATATATATAATAGGTACCTATTTGACTTTACATGATTATTAATATTTAAACTAAACATATCTCAATGTATTAATAATTTAACAAATATTAATTCTTCTGTATGAAATAGTAATTTAAAGTCATATAATATTATGTCAATCAAATCTAACCCTATACTTTTATTTAATAGTCGTTCTTTTTTAATATTATTTCGAACGTATGTTGATTTAAACTTTCAAAAGAAGTGGCATTGTTGTATTAAGAAATGTTTCACATTATTACTCGATCAAATCAAAAAATAATTGATATAAAGAAATTAATATTAATAATTTTAATAAAACTAGCATGGCAATAAATTTTTCTTAATATAAAATATGGATAAATAAATATAAATGCAATTAAAAATATAAGCATTTTTGGACGATAACTAGAGCCACCTCCACGGGATGTCCTCTGGGTTACACTAAATAGTTTTGATATTTTTTGTAAAATATTTTTAGGGAAATTTACTATTTCATTTTTAAGGAGAGTTTACATTTTCCCATAATTATACAAAAATAATCTATAAGTTTATAATATTTTTAAACTATTATTGCAATTAATTGTTAATCATAATTATGCAATCCAACAAATAAATAATGATATATTAATTATATTATGAATATAATATGAATATAATATAAAAACACAACATCCAGGGTTTCAATATTATATTGAAATTTAATTTCATATTATATTTTCAAAATATAAATTAATCTATTTGTGATGTAAAAAAGTTTAGAATACTACTTAAAACGTAATTAAAATGTATTTCATTTTTTTTTTTTTTAAATCTCAATTTGATTTTTTTTCAAAATGGTGACAATGTTAAAAAGACGAAAAAATAACATAATAATATAATCTTTAATTAAAAAAAAAGTGCCTTAATTAATGAGACTTACATTAAAATATTTTTGGAAAATTAACTATGAATCTATTTATCAAGTGTGGTTTTAATTTATTTATTTGTTATTTAGACACATATTTCAAATTCTAATAGTTTA